TTTAAATATTCCTCAATTTTTTTTTTTTTTTTTTGTTTGAGCGTTGGGTTCTTGGAAAATGCTCAGTTATTGTTGTCAGTTCGTTAATGCAACATTACAGGATGTCTAAACAGACACCGCCGCGATACAGCGTATTAAGCCTTATCTAACAAGCCTCATCTTCACACCGACAGACGTGGTCGTTGACGTGTTCTTGTACTCGTGATGAATCCAAAGGAAGTAGATGATGATGCTCGTTGCGTGTTGCGTGAGAGAGACCTGGAAACCTTGGAATTAAACTTTTAAGATCGGACGATTACTGAATGAAGGAGTTTATAGCGTAGCGAATTTTCTTCCATTGTGAAGTGAACTTCGTCAAGTTTGCCGAGCAAAGTTACGTTACGGAAGATTTGTGTTCGCCTTACTCTTTGTCGTCGCTCGACCAAACTGTAAACCGTTTCTAATATTACTCCATCTTAAGGTTTGACTTAATCCTTGACTTACCTTTCATCTAAAGCTAAAAATTCGGGAAATTCAAAGGGAAGAAGAGGAAGAAAATTAAACAACGTTTCCCTTTCTTACCTTTTTGATTCAATTACTCAATGATACTTGAGATTTGAAAATTTAAACTCAGATCCATCCATCCATGGAAGAAAATTGAACAACGTTCTTCTTTCTTACTTTTTCTCATCAACAAAGTATAAAGTTACAGGCGAGGAGCGTAACTGTACCAGCGACAATGAAAAATTGTCGATAATTGAAACTGATGCAACTTCGTGATAAAAGATTATACAACGATCCATTTTAAAGTGCCGAAGTCTCTACTTTGACAGTCACGAATCCTTTCTTCTCGAAGAGCGATTTCTCAAGAGTCATTAGAAACATTAAAAAAAAATATTCTTTCAACTAGATCTATCATCATTTTGAAGATTAAAGTGTATTGAAATTTATTGAAAATTTTTATTTTTTATTTTTTACACCATCTGAGTATTAAACTTAAACGACGAGAAATCAAGAAATTCTCAATATTTCATCTAACTCAGAGTTGGCTAACTGGCGGCCCGCGGACCCTTGCCCCTAATTTCCTGCGCTAATGCTACCCCCTCCACTGCATCGATCTCCCCACTACATTGAATTGTGAGCCTCCCACTCTCTCAGTCTGTTGATTTCGTGGAGAGTTTTGAATCTAACTTTAGTGTTCCAAATTCAATAGAATAGTTAAAAAAAAAAAGAAATTGTACAGCGAGTTTGAAAAGACAAATTTCAATCTCCAAGAGCTATATTTAGTCGTGAAAAAATTTTTTCAACGTTCCCACGCATGTTTGAGTTTTTACAATTCTTCAGGAGGAAAGTATTTCTTTACTTTCTCGCCCGTTGCGCGACGAAATCGTCTTCGAAGAAAGGGAACGTGTTCTCGACGATCGAAATAGAAGCGCCTCGCGCTTTAAAATCACCAAACCAAGCGATTATACGATCTCTCTTTACGAAGTTGCAATTTTTCACTGTCGTTGGCACATTCCTTAGAAACTTCTAACTAAATCCGATCATTTTATCCCGCGATTAGAAGGTTCCATTGCACTTCTACCAACTTGAGCTGTCGTCCCAGAATCGTTCGATTCTTCCAGGAATTGCACAGCGATTTTCACCCTTTAGCCGACAAGTTTCAGGTCTGATTTTGACACTCATGGGTGACCTAGGATTACGAAGTCGTTTCCACAGCGTGCGCCAGAGGCGAAGGATTTTGCATGCTGGAATACTGTCTTTTCGGTAAGGTGGCAGGTGGTTCGGGACGAACAGCGTGAGAGACACAGGTCGGATGACGAGCAGCCGGAGTTGTTCGGGGATGGAACGTTTGCGGTTAGACTTACGGTAAACGAAGCGGGGGAATTCATTTCGGGGCAGAAGTTACATCGTTCGAGGCATACGTTGCAATCGAGAAGTTTCCATTGGCTGCCATTGTGCTGCAGTTGTCGTATGCTTCTCACCGAGTCCTCTCGTCTGTATTTTCGGTATATCGTTTGCTGTTTATTCGTTGACAATTGAACAGATCGTGAGAATGTTTCTTGAAAGAATTACTCGTGCAATCCAAGCCATGAAAATACGCGAAATATTTATTTATATCTTCTTCTATAACAGTAATTCGAGGACACGTTCCGAAACTTGAAAAAAAATCATTGTAGTAGCTTCACTCTCGATTGCTCCAATAAATAAATTCCTCAAGTTCTTGATCTTGTTGATCCGAAACAGTAGCAGACCAATCAACGAACGAATTCTACGACAAGTCTACGATAAATTTCAATCAATGTCTGAAACTCCAGAAACATCAGAAAGTGTTCCAATTCCGGAGAAACAATGAAATTAGCCGTCTTCACACGTTCGCGTATAACAAAAATAATTTTAAGAGCACTCCGCGCAATTCTAATTAACAAGGGGACATACATCGAGGTGTCAATCACCGAAATTCTGATGAAATTTGGCACAAATGTAGCTTTCGAAAAAAATATTTCACACGATTTTTATCGGCAATCGTCGATGTTGAAGGGACGAAAACTACCCTCAAAGTTGGGTGTGCAATCGTATTGTCATTATACATTTCATTACTTTTGAAACAAAATTTTTTGATTCTGTTCAATTGCTTTTTCTTTTCAAATGTCGTTACCATGACGTCACTGAATTGTGCAGTTGCCATCAAAAATAGAAAATGACAGTATGATTTAGAATGAAGTTGGCTGGTTGAAAATACAACTAACGCCACTCGTCAGTACGAAACGAAATTACTTTCCAAACCCAACCAAACATCTCGGAAACTATCAAAGACATAGCGTTCCGTTGTGAATCGATGAAATTAGTGTTTTTCACGATCGGCAGTTGTTTGCGTTTCACTTCGAACACCCATCGAAGGGGAGGGGAAGAGATTTCCCGGGCAAGCTAAATATGCATGCAACTTGTCTCGGTCGAGATCGCGCTCCAGCCGCGCGCTGTTTGCTTGAACGTTTATGCGGAAAGTTTGCTCGCGCTTGTCCGCCTATTGCACAGCCTTCGGGCATTTCTTTCCGCCTGTTCTCCCCCGCTGTCTGGGATTATCCCAGCAAAACGAAGGTTAGCGGAACGTTTATGTTACTCGAAGCGTGGAATTCCTGTTTCCGCGGCGTGTTTCGCTTTGGAAATTAAGAGAGGGGACGCTCGTTTCCCTCTCCGCCTCGTCGGCGAATAGTTTTAATAACGCTGCACACGAGTTTCGAGAAAGAGAGAGAGAGAGAGAGAGAGAGAGAGAGAGAGACAAGCACCGCGACATTTCGCAGACACACGAGTGCAAAAGTTACGTCGCCGCTGCTTTTCGTTTCAATTCATCGCGAAACTGTTCGGAGGGCGAGGAATCGCGCTATCGATTGTGCTTTGTCTGAACTGCGTTGGCTGTCACGCCGGATTTACACGAATGCTCTCGGAGGGCGAGGTCGCGCAGAGAATTTACCAATATTCCAAGCGTACAGTGATAAAACGATAAGAAGATTATATTTATCATATAAGATCATAGCGCACTCGATGCACTAAGTTACTCTCGACAGTTGAGTTTGCGAACGTAAGACTAGAAGCGAGCGAGCCTTTAGAATGGCACGTTTGCTAGTGCCATGACGAAAATGTGGAAGCAACGTAACTGCCCGTAAAGGATCACGCCATGAAATGCAAAGGAGGGAAGAGCCAGCATACCTGATGCGAAAAAAATTTTGCCAAACCATGTTACCAAAACAGAATCGTGGCTCGCAAAAATGCTAAAAAATTGGACAAAAGATTGGCCAACCTCATTTCAATACAATACACACGATGTACATTTTAATTAAAGTCTTCAATTGAATCGTGCTGTGATGTTCAAAATTCTTCATTACCGACGATATTCAGTCTATTTTAATTTTATACATTTGAAAAAAAAAAAAAAAAAAATGGTAACGTGGCAGTCAACGCGTTAAGGCACCTACTTTTTATCGCGTTCTCTTCTTTCCTGTCGCGCACCTCGAACAAAGAGGATAACTCCATTATTCGATTGGAGAGTTTCGCGATAGAAAATGTTACACGAACGCAGATCCTATCCCAGTGTAATGTCCGCTGTTTGGAGTTTTTATTGGAAACCGTATCGAGGCCTCGAGTTTCGTACGTTCGATGCATATTGGAAATTAAAGCCGGCTGAAGATTAAAGCAGAAGTAAACCGTGTCCCGTATCTCTTTCGGCCGTTTCAATTTCGGAAGAATCCTCTGGCCCGTCGATCTCGCCCGAGTAAAACTACGCTTTACTAGTAAAATTTTTAAGCGTTATTGCGTCTGTCGGAAAAATTCTTGTCATTCCTCGCGTCCGTACACTCTCTCTGTGTGTACACTCGCTTCGTTGACTTGAGATTTAATGGCCGCCATTGTTGACACAATCATTATACGCTCCATTTTCCTGACAATTGCAACTGTTACGATTTACGCGAGCATTGGAAATAGAATCTGCGTTCGCGCAACGATTTCCTCCCGAACAATTCCTTTGTATCGTCGGCAAAGAATTTAGAAACTTTAGAACCTTTGAAAATGATTCTCTAGTAAATACATATAATAGGGCAGAGCGTGAAAGATACGTCAACTAGAGCCAAAGAGTCAAAAGTTACCAAAAAAAAAAAAAAAAAAAA